AATGGGGGAAAGAATCCCTGTTGCAGGGGTGTCTGGTGGGGGCTCCTTCCCCCATGGGTTAGTGCAGATCTCACAGGCAGGTAGCTACACACAGTATTCTGCCCACCTACGTCACTGCAGCACTGATGCTCGGAGAGAGGCGTTTCTCAAGTGTGGGCAATCTACCGCCAAACCGCATGAGCACTCCTTCAAGGTGCACTCCTGATCAACAAGCCCCTCAGGTGACTGACCAAGGGACATAGATCTCAAAGACTCCTGTGGAAGGCTTGGCTTAGATCTCCCTTAAGATGTAAGGAGACTGCAAGCATTGCCACCTGAAGAGCCCTTGCAAGCTCACAGAAGAGATCAGAAACATCAGCCTGACCTGCTTCTAAACAAAGGCACAACATCAAGACTCCATTTTTACAGGATCCATGTTGAAGTTCAGGTGAGCAGAAAAGAGAAAACTGAAAAATGTACCATGCCTGGGATGTACTTCACAACAACTCACTGTGGGGCAGAGATGAAGCAAGATTGGGCCGTGACTCATTAGCTGTTGAAGGGGTGTGATGGCTACAGAGGTTCATTAAAATATTTTCTCTCCTGTGTGTTTCAAATTGTCCATAAGAAAAAGCTGGGTGTAAAAACAGATAAGAGAAACACGAGGGAAAAACAGAGATTAAGACTCCCAGGGAGAGGGGTGTGAGTCTATAATGCAGTGCCCTTTAACAGGACTTCACACAAACACCTGTTTCCAGTTCACTAGGAACCATTTCATTTCCTCCTAGAAAAGAAAGAAGGTGATGCTGCTGTGCTGACTCAGCACCCACCTCCCAGTCCACCCTTAAAACACAAAAACAAAAGCTAGCTCCTAGAGGTGCCTCCTGACCTCTTTTCCATCTTGCCCCAGGCTCAACTAGGTCCCTGTATTTTGACAGGGAAATCACCTGTCATCAAGTGTGGCTATCACCCTGGGTTGCCATCCTCCTTCCCCTGTCCAACTATCAGAGATAAGAGAGGTAGTGTCCTGTCTTCACCCTTTCTGGAAAGTGTGAATGGAACACTAAACTCAGAACAGAGCAACAGGAAGTACTGGGAGGAAGCCTCTGGTCTCCCCTGGTGCCATTACCCCCAACACACAGAATTTAAGTAGAACACACAATGTAAGTTTTTTTTGAGTCACAATACATTGGAAATTGGTCATTTGAACCATTCACCCTATGGCACTCAGTTCAATCTTCACAGTAGTCCACTTCATTCCTGGGGGGTGGAATTGAACCCAGGAGGTCCCATATGATAGGCAAGTGTCCTTTCACTGAGCTATACTCCAGTCCTTTAAATTCTTTATTTTGAGACAGGGTCTTCCTAAGTTGCTATGCAGGCCTTGAACTTGCTTGTGATCCTTCTGCCTTAGCCTCCCTACTAGCTGTGACTACAGACTTGTGCTACCATCCAGCTCAATTCATTCGTTCTTTTTTTTTTTTTTGGAGCAAATACTGAACACAGAAGTGAGCAGGAACTGAATAGTCATTAACAAAAATGTCCCTGCCTTCAGGACACATACACTCTAAAGCAACAGCCATCACAATACATATGAGTGGTGACAGCACAGAGAAAGGAAAGAGTTGGGGAACTATGATGTCCACACAACAGGTGGACTTCAGAAAAATTAGGGGTCCCTGCCCAAAGAAGAGTTCATTTTTCCAATTTCACTGATGATTCCCATAAAGACACCATATATATTTAAAAAATATACTGTGCAATTAAGGCTTTTGATACCGGGGATTGAACCTAGGGGTTCTCTACCACTGAGCTACATCTCCAAGCCTTTTTATTTTTAGTCAGGGTCTCGTTATGTTGCTTAGAACCAAGCTCAGTTGTTGAGGCTGGCCTCAAAAACTTGTGATTTTCCCTGCCTCAGCCTCAGGAGTTGCTGGGACTGATTACAGGTATGCACCACAGTGCCTGATAATGTTTTTATTTTTTAAGGCTCCTATGTGTTCAGGAACTAATAAAGAAATTCTAGTCAGTTATTCATACCAATTAATTCCATCTAAACACAAATTTGTGATATTACAAATATAGAATTATACAAATTATCTTGAAGGGAAAAAGGTAATTTTTTGAGTTCACTCATTTTTAAAAAGTCAAAATATAACCAACCTTTTTCTACCAAGTCAACTGTACCATTAACAAATATTACAAACTACCGGAAAAACAGCAATAGAAATATGAGAATGCAGACATACAATAGGCTAAACTGAAAAGAACTGGAATTTTATCCTAGCATTTGCTACCTGTGCTAAAAGAAGACCCAAACCACAAATAATCTTACTTCCACTCAAATCAATAGTCCCAACCGACTTCCACAGCATTAACCCTTGGGCAGTCTTGCCACAAAGGAATTTCTTCATAAGAAGAAAAAGAGAAAAGGAAAAACGAAATAAAGCCTAATGTGTATTTAAACAGTAGGGGTGGGGACGTGTTGTAATCCAAGGGAAACTGTGGACACTTGCCCTGGAAGGTGGACATACATTTTATTTTACATACAGTTTCTACAAACTTTGACCTCTGGAAATCTATTTAAGGGTCCCAGGTTACCAACCCTTGACCTAGATAAAAATCAAATTAGGAAGTCAGGTCTGGGATTATCAGCAGTTCAAAGGGTTAAAAGCAATTAGTATGTATTTAGTCATTATACACAGGTTATCTAATTTAATTTCAACCCCTACAAAAACCCTGGGAAATATGTAGTATGTTTTCAAATAGAAAAAGCTACCTTCAAAGAGATGAAGTAACTAATGTAAGGTTAAGCCACTTTCTCTCTCAGGTTTTCTGACCTATCAGAAACCAGAGATTCAAGGAGACCAGGTGCCCGGCAGAGATTCCTAGAGATATTCTAAGAGGGAAAGCTGCTGATTTTCCATGCTTCATCAAACAATTTACCTACATATTTCTCTCACCATAATGACATTTACGAGAGGAATTAGTATAGAGTTAATTCCAAAACATCTTTTACTTCGTTGGAGATAATCTTAGCCAAAGACAATGGAAAAGGTTCAATAAGTTTTGGTAATATTGAATGTATTTTTATTCCTGAAACATTCTGATATGGGCTGTTTGTTAAGACAACATACAAGTCTACTTCATGGAGTTCTCAAGCTTAGATTTTTAAACAGCGCCCCAAAAAATCCAGTCACAAACAAATGTAGAACTGTCTGAATTTAAAACTTCAGACTCTACTCAAAACACGCAAGCACAAGTTACAGAAAGCCTGGCAGCTACAGCATCCTCTAAATGGTGAGAGCAGCTTGTGGGTGGGGGGTGGGGGATGGGGGATGACCTCTAACAAACACTAATAATTTGATAGTTCAGAAGCACACACAACCAGATCCATGGCCCTTTTGAGCCTCCAGCAGGTAGTTAAATAAAGGTCTTAGCATTTCATGGAACACCTGCTGATAAATGTATCCCAAAAGAAAAATAGAGCAAAAATGGGTCCAGGCCACTAAATTTGGTTGGGTCTTGGTCCAGATGAAGGTCCTCAGTGAAACACTAAGACACTTACTCATCCTCTATAGGGGAATTACAATAATCAGCATCCTGTTTTCACACAGATTTAGAAACCCTTTATGGGAAATGTATCCACACCCAGAGAATGAAAACTAAGAACAAGAGTGGATCAGGTCCTCTAAAGCTCTACTCCAACTGCTTCCTATGAGAGTTGCCACCTAGTGATTTTAATTTTTTAAGCCCAGGCGGGCTGCCAATGCCACACTAAAACCGGACTAACAACTGATTTTTTCTATTGCAACATCGCCAACAAGTCCTGTGCTTTCCCACTTTCCTTTGCCCTCAAACAGCAGTTCTCCTTTTGAAAATCAACTAATTTGCTCTATGATCTGTTCCAACTGGAAGCTCTCATAGGGCTGCCACTGTATTATTCTTCCTCACAGGGCCAAGAGGTCAAGTCGGCAACTGATAAAAACCAAAGTGGTGAAAGTGAAGAAAAGCCAGGTGTTGAAAACAAGAAGTAAATGTACAGACAGTAACTACCAGCCCGCTCTGGACTTAAAAATTCCCCAGCTGCCAACATTCTACCTACTCCTAATTCAGTATTTGGGATGCCAAGCCTCACTTAAGGCCTTTTCCTTTCTGAACAGAGTGTGCCCGGGCCTGGTGCAGGCAAATAGTAGCACAAGCACCAAGCCACCTAATTCATAAAAACAAGGAAAATCTCCAGGACTAATCTGACAGCTTCCAGATATCAGACATTTCATTTGTAGGCATACCTTTAGCTACACATATTTCCCTAGAGCATCCTTCCACCAAATAGCTTAAAACTAAACAAAAGTTAAACTCTGATTTCACTAGATATGGGCAGTAAAGTTTTATTTCACCATCTAAAATTCTGGCTTTCCTTATATATATTTTTTTAACCCCCTCATCCTGCGGCTCTCAAAAAAAAAAGTCTGACCAATTGTGCTCATGCCGTGAGGAACCTCTGGTAGCATCTTGTACATTACGTTCCACAGAAATAAGGCAGCAGCGATTAAGACATTTTTTTTTTCTAGTTCAAAATTCATTCTAATTACCAAAAAGAAACTTATGGGTGATCAGGTATCCTTTGTAAGGTACCCACTCCCAAGTACTTATGGAAATGATTCTAAAGCTGAGAAATCCTTCCTCCACTCATGTTCTCCACAAGGGGGTCACACCTGAAGGGATCTAGGTTAAACTCCCTAACTGATGATTCCCAGTGCTCACCACCTAGCAATGAATGCCACTCAGGCTGCACCTTGCCAGTCTTCCACTGAAAGGTTCTAGGATGCTCCCAATTACAGGAAGTCCCAAGACTGGATTATCCCAAATGCTCTGCCCTCCCCCTCCCTCCTCCTCAGGCAGCATCCTCCAGGGTGAAGGGGAGCGGGTAAGGTGGGCTCAGGTTCCAGTCCCTGGTCAAGCAGCAAGGAAACTTCCCCGGGGTTTGCACAGACTCCATCAGGGGGGGCTGGACTCACCTTCCCGACAGAGCCCCATGACTTCGCGGTTTTTCCCAAACTCCTTGAAACTTTCGTCCAATTCCGTCCCTAGGAGATATACACACACAGGAGGAGGGGAGAGGCAGGTCAGTGGCCAGGAGTGTGACGCACGCTCACGCACGCACGGGTAGGTGTGGGCACCTCCTCGTTCCGCAACCCAGCGAACGATAGCATCTCTGACCCCCGAGGGGGCGGGTCACAGGACGGGGTGGCGGGGGAGGGGAGGAGAGGGTAGAGGAGGGGGGAAGTGGGGGGCGTGGGGAAGAGGAGGGCGTGGACACTCACCGTCCTTCCCAGGAAGTTTGGAAGCCTCGACCCACAGATTCCACGACTGTCCCAGCATCGCTTCGGGACTGGGCAGGGGCCTGCGCTCCCCGACCGTCGCCATTGCGGCGGCCGAGGTGGAGGCGGCGCCGGGGCCGCCGTCCTCCGGCCGTGGGCGCCGCGGCGGCGGCTGCTGCCGCGGGGGCTGCGGAGGCTGCTGCTGCTGCTGCTGCCGGCCGGCCGCTGCTCCGCCCGCCGCCGCCGCGCGGCGCGGCTCCCCCCTGACGTCATCCGCGGCCCGCTCCGACATTCTTTCCGCTCCTACAATGTAACAAAAAAGGGGGAAAAGAGTCTCGCGGGGGCCGCGTTTAAGGAGGCGCCGGGGAGTTCCGGCGGCGTGCGCGGCCCGCAGGCCGGGTGGGGCGCGCTGACAGCGCCCCCGGCCGCCCAGCCCCCAGCCCGCCTCCTCCCGGGCCACCCCCTGCTCCGGGCGCAAAGTCCGCGGCGCGGGCTCGCTTTCGCTTTCGCCTCCCGCGGCCCCTCGGGGGAGAGAACCGGCCGCCGGCGGCCCGCCACCGGGACGCTGGGTCCCCTGCCTGCCTCTGCCCGGAGGAGCCGGCACCGAGGCCGGCGCCCGGAGCTGCCTCCGCCCCAGCTCCGCGCCCAGCACGGCACCCCGCCGCGGGGAGGCCCGAGCCGCACCCCGGGTTCTCCGGCTGCCCACCCTGCGGCCGCTCGCATCCCCGGGCCGGGCCCGGCGGCCCCGCTCCTTCCTTCCGTCCGCGCGTCCGTCCGAGCGGCGGCGCCCGGCCGGCTCCCTTAAGCGGAGGCGCCTCCCGTCGCCTCCTCCCCCTCGCCGGTCCCTCCCTCTCAGCTCGCTCCGGCGAAGTTTGCACGTCAAGCCCCCGGAGTGGAGCCAGGGCGAAGTCGGAAACGCAGCCACCTATGGAGGAGCCGGCCGGCCGGCCCCTGGGTATCACCGAGTATCGCAGCCAGGGCCGGGGCAGAGAAGCTCGTGCAGGGAAAAGCACTTGACTCTAGTCTCGCGGGCGGCCACACAGTTGTCAAAAAGCATGAATGGGACGCCGCCACAGCGGACGCCCGGCACGTAGGGAACCACAGACCAGTATGGAAATGCCGCCCAGGTATTGGCCCAGGTGTCAGCCCCTCGTGCACGCGATCGAGCCCACGTGTGTGCCCCAGTGCTCACAAGTGGAGGTCACGGTTTGCGCTCGGGGGACTTGGAATTTCTCATCTAACAAAAAAGAGACCACGAAATCAGTGTAATAGAGAGTACAGGAGAGGAAACCGAGGCGATCTTTATCCGTTTACATGTTCAGAGTCACTACCTCAAATTTCTGTATTTTTCCTTCCGTTGCTCCTGGAATTGATTCATTCATCCCCAAAATAAAAAATCTTACCATTTAAAAATCGCATTCAGTTTTAACTTAAGCGATTAGCCTCTCCCTCTTTATTGTCTTGGGCAGGGTGAGAACACACAGCTTGGGGGAAGGTACAGAATTCCTAGAAAACATGTTTGAAAGGCACTGTTTTCCATCAGTGTTTGTTCACTAAATTAAGGGCATTAGTGCACAGAACTTTACACCCCTCCTCAGCCTGCACACACACCCCTTCTTCTTAAGTGGTAGGCTAAAGATGGTAAAATAAAAGTTTACTTAATGAGCTGAAGCATAGGAAACTTGAAACAGTAGCAGACCACACTGAACCCTTGCCCTAAATGTTACTATAATTACTGTTATCTCAAACTGATGTGAAAATCTGAAGCCTGAAACAAAACCAGTGATTCTGATCATCACATTTCATACTGCAGTAATATCAGCACTCCTATAATCTGTTCAGAGCTGCTTGCTTACAGGTGTTTCTCTGAGTAGGTGGGGGGAGGTGTTTTGTGTTTTTTGGGTATTTTAAATCTCAAAACATCTGGTGTGGCAGAGGAGGCCAACTTCCCCTTGAAAGAAACAAAGTCCAACTTGCAGAAATATAAGAACGTTTGAACAAGAGTAAAAATTAACAAGGAAATGCAGGACTCCAGTGGAAAGGGTTTTAGGTTCAAATTTTAAAATACACAATACATATGAATTTTTTGTTTAGACAGATTTAGAACTATTTTTTAAGTGAAATTGCAATGCAAACAAGTTCATTAAGTGAAACTATGGATGCTTCCAGTCCTTATCAAAATACAATTGGCCCTCTGTATCCTCTGGCTCAGCATCCACAGACTGAACAACATAGGTTGGAAGTACTTTTTCTTTAAAACAAAGCGAACAAAGAAACTGACCCTGTACTGAACATGTACATTTTTTTCTTGTCATTATTCTATAACTACAGGCTAACAACTATTTTCATAGCATTTACATTGTATTAGCCATTATAAACAATCTAGAGATGTTTAAGGTTCATGAGAGGATGTGCCTGGGTAATATGCAAATACAGTGATATTTTATATAAGGGACTTGAGCATCTGCAAAATTTTGGTGACTGGGGTGGGGGATTCTGGAATCAATTCCCTAGGATACTACTGAGGGACAGCTGTAACCAAAAGTAGTAGAAATGATTGGAAGTATTTAACTTAAAATTCATGTCTAAGTTTTAACTTCCTAAATAAGACTATCAAAGAAAAAAATGCATGGTCAAAACATAGATCCCCTTGGGCTGGGGTTGTGGCTCATCAGTAAAGCTCACCTAGCCTGCAAGGCCCTGGGTTCAATCCTCAGCACCATATATAAATAAATAAAATAAAGGATTCCCTTGCCAACAAGGGAATATAAACATATTTTTTATAAACATAGCTGGATATCTCCAGTACAGATGTTCAACTTTTCATAATTCTGAATTACTGAAATATATGTATAATTGCATGAAAATATCCAAATTCTGATTCCCTGGATCAAAGGATACAATTTATCAATTACTTTGAATTTTGTAATTCGACATTTAAAATAAACGAGAATTTGAATATAATGGCATTTGGAGCTGCCAGTGAAAAGAAAAGTTGAGGACTACTCAGCCATTTAGTGACCAAAGGGAACTTGCTTGAGTAAAGTTCTTCTGATTCTTGAAAATGCAGGTTGAGAATTAAAATAAGGGGAAGAATGGCAAATGTGAAGTACAGTCTCACTTCCTCCAGATATTGCTTGATTTCTTTTACATGTGAAAATATTTCACAGTTTACCAATACAGGACTTCCAGCCAATGAGAATCAAAATAGCAATTTGTAATACTTCAAATTTTACCTTAACTCCTGCTTGATATATTTTTTTCCTTCAAAGTTTTGATTGGTTTAATAAAGAAGACACAAAAGAGCTTAAAATTTTTTAAAAATCATCTTAACATTATAATAGTTACTAAGGGATCTTAATTATAATAGCAGCTATCAATTGTTGAGCACCTCAATAATTGCTGTAGGTGCCTTATTGCATTATCTCATTATATGCAGTCATGCCAGTTATAAATTGCATTATTTACAATGGACTGATAAGGAAAATGAGGTAGGACTCTAGAGCCAGTCTTGCTATTGCTGGGTACAGACATTAGCTCTTCCACTTATAAGCTGTGTCACCAGGCAGGTTACCTAACTTGCCAGTACCTCAGTTTCATAATCTATAAAATGGAGATAAGGCCAGATATTTCAGGATTACACGAAAAGATTCTTGGTACATAGCTTAACCCAAATACTAAAAATATCAAGTATTTATATATATCAAGATGAGTGATTCAGTTCAATACTTACCTAGGAAATTTGCTACCAAATTGAGGAGGATGTGGGGACAAGAAAATGACAATTAATTCCTGGCATTATCTCCCCACCCTATACTCTTTGCTACAGTCTATGCATTTTTACCATACTGTTTCATCACCCATGAAAAGGCCCTAACTTCTAGAAAAGATAGATATTCATACTTTTGGGTTTCCTAATAGCTGGAATGAATCACCAAGAAAAGTCAAAACTGCAAGCTGATAAAGTACATCTGATTTTCAAATGTTGGCAACAGTTTTAAATTATTCCTTATACAAAGAGCACTGATCATAAACACATGTACAACAGAAATTCAAATACTTAGTTTTTTTCTCCAGACCATAATAAAGAATTTGATGACCTCTTACTTAAATCCTCCAGTCTCCATACCCAGAAATATAAAAGAAAATAGCTCATATAATTGACATTCATTTAATACAGATTATTTTAATGTAGGAGTGTGTCTTGCATGATATAAGTCAGTACTTATGCCAGTGTACTTCTGATGATGTCCTCTAGCCTGGATGAACTTCAGCATCTGCCTGTACCTTTAAACAATATACATTTTATAAGGTTTCAGTAATGGGAACTCAATTTATCTAACAATCCCCATTACTTACCACATATCAGGCACTATATTAGGCACCAGGGTGAACACAAAATAATAATTTCACTGAGAGTATGAAAAAGCTTAGAAGCAGGCAAAAATTTTAATTCATTGAAATGCTCATGTTAAAAGCTGTCACCACCAATTAGATTGTATGTAGCTTAAGAACTAGGCTGTCAGAAGTGAAATGCTGCCAAATTCTGAGCATTTTATCCCTTCCAAGGATGTATTTAAAATATGGTCTTACTTCACCATCCAAATTTAGGTATGTTCCCAGTAGATGCCAAGGGTAACAAGGTCTCTCTTTACAAAAAGGATTCTTTGCACAGCAGATTCACTTATAAAATGTTTTGTTCAAAGGCTGAACCCATCCAATATGCAATAAATTTTTAAAAATAAGTTTACCTTTCTAGTACCTAAATCTAGTCTAATGTAAAAAGGCTGAGACTTCCCAAAACTTTTCTAAGAAGCAAGACCCCACACAAGTCTTTTTATTTGGGGAAAACCACCAGTCCCAATACAAGATTTTAATAAACTTGACAACCAGTAACTACAGTATATTTATCTGTGTAAATTACAGGGTTGGTAACAGATTCTCCATTATCAACCTCAAAGTAGTGAAGTTATTAGGGTAAAAAGAAACAGACTTACAAAACTAGGAATGTATTAGTTATGGTGGCTTTCTATCTTCCTAAAATTGGCAGTGCCTTTGTTCACAGCCTCTCTAGCTCCTCTGACCACACCTCTCCCTTTCCTTCTTTCTTCTCCAGAGTGAGCCAGGGCGCCATTCTGCATAGGGGTATCACAGGAGGGCCTTTCCTTAGCTGCGCTCCCTCTAGTGAGACATCTCATAGCCTGTCAGAGATACATGGTATTCCAGCAGAGGGAGAACAGTGTGTGTGTGTGTGTGTGTGTGTGTGTGTGTGTAATAAATTGAGTTCATCAGCTCAGTGGCTG